ACTCCGATGACTTCCCTTTTGCACATCCCGGGAGAGGCTGCAAGAAGGAGCAGAAGTGCTGGAATACCATGGCTCGCAGAGCCTTCCTGAGACAGGCAAGTGCCTTTGCTGCCAGAAGGAATCAGCACTCGTGGCAGAGCTGATATCTTTTATTAGACCCACTGGGTAGCTGCAAAAAAATCCAAATCTTTATTTGCAAGCTTTAGTGCATGCTCACCCTTCTTCAGGCATAGGAGAACGCAAAGATTGGGAAATTTCTCCTAGATGGAAATGAAAATTCATATTTCACAGGAGAGCTGCAAGTATTGTAAGATCTCCTGGTTGGAAAAGCTCGTTTTGTGCAAATTAGGCTCAGGTAAAAGTTAGAGCAATCTATTTTACCTTGGGGTTGTCTGATGGTAAGCAGGACGTTGTACTGGCTGTCGGAGGGATGTGAAAGGAAGCCAAACAGTCCCCTCACAAGAGGCTATAATTTAGCCTCCAAGGTCTTAGCCAGGGAGTTGTTATTTCCAAAAGGGCATTTCACAATTACTTTCTTTCACGAGGGAGGGGAAGGGGCATCGTTTCCTGAGTCCGACAGAGTCCGAAACGTACCCAACACAAGCAGCACAGGAGTAGGGCGGGCAGACAGACACGAAAATACCCCAGCGGCGTGGTTGTGCGTGCCTGTGCAGTGATCCCCAGCAGGTCCCGGCCCCCTCCCTGCTCTCGGCATTCCAGCCCCGATTACAAGTGTTTTTTCCTTATTACGTTCACAGAGGAAGGCTAAGCAAACAGACAGATCCTGAGGACCCACGCCCCTCATTAGGAAGAGTCCTGCTAGGACCAGACTGTAATCCAATAAAGATCAGCTCTGTTGCAAATCTCAGCTCAGTCATTTTCCTCCTACTTAGCGTCCTGTTTTCCCTCCATTGCTTTTATCTCTTGCCTCCAGCCGGCTAAGCTTTTACTGATGACTACAGGACAAGCGAGGCTCTTTTCCCAGAACTTTCCTAACATCCATTGACTGAAACCCAGACCTCAATCCCATTGAAATCAATTCCACAACTTCCATTGGCTTTGCTGGGCTCGGGTGTAGACTCTTTTGGCCCTCGTTTTCTGAACTGTTTCAGTGCCTAACCCTAACTTGCATTTGAATTAGAGCGAAGTGTCTGAATACCTCTGAAGATCTGGACCTCAGTAGGTAATAATGAACATTATGCAACCCCTTCTAGCCCTAAACTTCTCTGAATCTGTGAATTCCTCCTCCTTTTACATTGGGCCCTGAGCAAGCTGGACTCACTCCATTAAGCTCAGTGGAGAGGCAGTGGTTTACATCAGTATTGTAATACGGCGTTTTTGACTTACAACCCACTCTCTCCAGCAACAATATTTTCTCTTATCATTCGAAAAACTATCCTGCTGGAATTTTTCATTTTGAGGCAATATGATTTCTGAATCTATAAGCATAAGGGCATGGAAAATGCTTGAATTCTGAATTCAGACACACATTAGGAATGATTATGCGCGCTAGCAAGTTGCAGAGCCGAGGCGATTTCTCAGAGCTCCACTGGTTTGTGGATGCGCTCTGCATCACTTCTGCTCAAAAACACTAAACTTCACCCAGCAGTTTTTAAAATCTTTTGATCATCAGGAGCCAGAAAGAAGGCAACAGTCCGATGATCTTATTTCCAAAAATAACTGCCTTTCTGTTTAAAAACTAACCGGACCTGATGCTGCACAGACCTACCAGCAAAATCGGTGGGTGTTGTGTCTGAGAGCGCATCTGCAGCAAGAAGAGTCCTGGAGTGCCAGACTTAATGGACGATGACATTGGCCAGACTGAGCATTTCACGGTTGTACTGAGAGTGGCAGCACAGGTGGGAGAGCAGACATTTATTAGTCGTATGCTAACAGAAACTGAAAATCTCTCGTGAGTGTGATTTGACTGGGATGATCTAGGTCTGCTTTGAACAGGGGGTTGGACTAGATGACCTTCTGAGGTCCCTTCCCACCCTCATTTTCTGTGATCCTATGTCCTGCCATGCACAAGCCACCTGTTTAGAAGGACAGCCAGGAGAGTCTTTGCTGCTCTCTAGTTCAGGAAACCATCCCTATTCAGGAGGGCACTTAACTGGAAGAACAAGCCTGAGTCCCACTGTGGTCAAACATATGCTTATAGCTCATGGAGTGCAATGAGGCTGAAATGCTTTCCTATATCAGGACCGGTAGAAATGCAGTGAGGAAACAATGCTTCACAGGGGAAGCTTTGTTTTCAAGCAATGCATTGCTTTTCCTCTGCTTTTACTGCACCGATTTGTGTAGCTGGATTGCTGACCTCGGCACACTCCTGTAATGGGCAACAGCCCCCTAATTTCCACACCGTGTTGTAGGAACTGATTATCAAGCTAGATGCAAACCCAAGCTGAGTGCACAGATCGGACAACTGTGCACGCTAATCGGATGCTTCCATGCTCCAGCTAAATGTCTGGAAGGGAAGGTCCTGCGCACATAAATGGCAAGCTGTTACTCTGTTGGCACATGTCCATTAGGTGCTGGTGTGCTCACACCTCCATGGGCTAATAAGATAACAGATCTTAAACCTCATTTGCACAATTGCTCCTGGATGCCATCTCCTGTGGTTTGATTCCCACTGCATTCATGAGAACAGGACCCACACAGCATCAGAGACCGGCACCACTTTCTCCTTGTAACAGAAATAAGCCTTGACCCTTGGCTATGTGCTCAGGTCCAAAAAGGGCGACAAGGCAAGTGAGTGCCTGACAACTTCCCAGGCTCAGGATTTCCTCTCTCAGTGTACAGGAGCCTCAAAGCCTTCTCCTGTGTGCTGTTGTGAGTGATGGGTTCTCCAGTGGAGAATGCTAAGCACAGAGGGGATCCCTGGAAGAGCAGCCAGGGCCATGGGTTTGCTCCCC